ACAAGCCGATATTTATAACTGCTGGAGGAGCCGGCAAAGACGAATTCTTCACCTTCCAGTGGTGCCGGTGTTATCGCTCAGAATGCTCTGCATATCTAGGACAGCCAAGAAGAATCGAATCCGAATCGAACTCGAAATCAAACATGTGCATATCTACTTTTGACGACTTCTCAATCATGCAGCACTTACCATTATCCTATGAGTCTTCAACCTCTGTATAACCACACATCATCTTGCCTCAACGATCGATAGATGCGTCCTCCCAGTTGCAAACAGGAGCTTGCCTCATTGATTACTGGCCATCATCCGGTACAAATCTACGACGCTAGGTGTACCCGCGAGGAAATCAAGTCATAATACACAAAGCCTAGGTCCTGGCCTAAGTGAGGACTGTTGCCCAATAGAACAAACAGCTTGGGGGAAGACAGGCAGCTAAGATGTGGAGGGAGATGAGGTGCTGGAGGGGGAAAAGGTCTCCGAATACCATGCTGGAAGTGACATGTTCGACGGGTTTTTAATTTTGGAACGTTTATGGGCGCCAAGACCGAGATTTCGGCTAATTAGCCACGAGGACTTCTCTTGTCGATGTGTCAACGGCACTGCCCAGCTCCCTGGACGGCACAAAAGAAGTTGGTCTAAGCTAGAGTACAGCAATCACACTCTGTCAAGACTTTTCTGACATTTTAGCACAACCTTTTGGAAGGACTTGGAATGAGGCTAGGAAGGCATAAGGAGAGTTTTACGAGGTACACTCAAGTCCGCAACGCCAGCTGGCCGGCCTCTACGAATGCTTCACAAGGATAACTATGTCTCCTGATTTAGTCCTAATTTCGGTATTAGAAGAGGCCTACACTCAATGGTTTTTGCGATTTTTCCCGGCTGCCATATACCCGCAAATTGCCATCGTTTCGTTGGCTGGAGAGAGGAGACAATGACGGAATAACCGCTTCCTCTAGTGTGTACTCGAATAAAGACTCGTGAAGGTATTACTGCTAGAAAGAAGCCGTGAAGGAGGCATAGTTGCTCCCGACCCATGGGTAGAAAGGACCTACACGTCCTTTCATAGTGATAGACTCTGTAGGAAAATAAACATACACAAAAAATAGACCGAATATTTTTGGAATCCTTTATTAGTGCCGTCAAAAGCCACAGCACGACCCTCGACCATTTCAATCAACACTATTGTTGACAGAAAATTATCGGACATCATACTTGGTTTACTGATTGTGAATTATCTGTGGCGAAATTAAAGCCTGCGAGCGAAGATGTAACAGATGCTGGACCATGGAGGTTTTATAATTAGTAAAATTGAAGCTCAAAATTAGGAGAGTATCACCTAGAGGTTTGACGGATGCAGTCAATCCTTCCCATACCTTTCAATTTTCCGAGGCGCTGAGCAGCGGCTGGGCTTCATCTTAAATTTGCTATGTTATTTAGGGACTGTAATTTCAGATTATTACCTTTGACTTCGGACTCAAAGGACGCCTCTTATTTGTATCATAGAATGCCTGTTTAGTCTTTAAGTTTGTATGAAAGTTGATATCTAATTTGCTAACCAAAAACTCCTCAATCCTTTGAATACGCTAATGTAAGTTTTGAATTTTGAATTTTATTTCAATTAACCCGAACAGGCACCCTCTGGGTCCATGCAGGTGACTATCTGCATTATTTACAAAGGAGGAAACCGATTTGGTGAAAACCCCCTGATCCTGTCTTTTTATGTTCCTATCAATTTATTTGGTTTACCTTCAGGAAGTGCAGTGTACACTGTTCAGCCCGTGTGGATTCCGTCCTCTCCCCTTCCAGATCTATTTACTTTATCCGACATTGCTACCTCGACTTCCCCTGCAATTCGAAACTGTTTTATCCACCCTTTGTTTAGTATCTGTCAGGCGCAGGTTCACTAGGCGCAGGACTCGAGGCGTAGGAGAGGGCGTAGCGTAGGTTGTACTGAGGAAGGACGCCTCGTGGTAACGCGGAGGGCTTTCTAGATAAGTGGTAATTGGGAAAGCGGGGAGTCGTTCTAGATAGAGGGGCCAGAGGTGACGGTAGGCCACTATGTTTGGCAGAGGACGAGAGTGAGATGTGATTAGAATAATGTAACTATTCCTAAAGACAGAAAACAAAGCGTGAAGATCTCAGTCTCGGAAATGGAAACTACATGGGTGCCCTCGCTAAGCAATAAAGACTAGTGGGATTAAACAATGAACCCATATACCCTGCCTGAGGCATTTCTCAAGAATCCTTACAGTATCCAATGTGTAATTCTAGCCATGTCTTCTGGCCTGTTCATCATTGCTTCAAATGACCTGTCTTTAGCTTGTCAGAGAAAGTCGCCTCTTCCATTTGCCCACTGCGGACACGCCAACACCATATGCTTGACGTTTTGCGACGGATATCCACATTGACAGGTTGGCTTTTCTACTCCAGGTACTTTTCTTCTGCTCAGGTAAGAATTGGGTCCGATATGTTCGCTCCTTAGCTGAGTGGCGACACTGCTTTGGGCCCTGGTTAGGTTACGGTGGATTCTTAAGGGTGTATCTTTGAAGTTCATTTTGACGCTGCCTGTTTGTTTATCAGTAAATATAATTGCCGCTTCCCAATGTTCTAGATCGGGCTAATGTAAGTTTATTTATTTATTTATAATACTTAACGTGGTGCCCGCGCACAGCATGTGAGCTCCTCACGTGCCGGTTAGCTCAGTAAATAAATCCACCCGACGTGTTGGCGCCTGAACAAACCCAACTAAGGAAGGCAAGACTGAACACCTGTACGCGTTGTCCTCTACGAGCCTGGGAGTGAAATATTCTCCCAGAGCCAAGTTCAGTCAAATTTCGCAATATCAAAGAAGTTCGCCCACGAGGCAATGATCCAACTTACTCTACCACGTCGTTTTTTCGCTCCCAACGAGTTTAACGCTTACCTAAGTCTCATCAAGTCTACAAGTACGACCAAGTACATCCTCATCCCAATGACCATACCTCTCGTCGACTTTCTCTGGCCTCAGTTGACCACCAAATACACGCCCACGCCGATATTTATACCCGACGGAGGAAGCAAAGCGTGGCGCACAAATCTGGGAGACAGTTCTTTGAGATGGGTGTGACAGGGATTAGGAAAAGTTGACAAGGTGATGCGAAGGAAGGATATAACTTCGAAGGGCATGAAATTCTGAATGTCGGCAAGGAGTTTTTCGATTGGGCTTTGTGCGCGCCAAGACTTCACTTGCGAGAGTGCAGCTCACACTATAAAAACAAGCAAATGATGGAAGGTGTTGTTGTCTGCCTCCTGGTGGTGTTCTTCGGTATAGTTTGAGTAGCCTGGGCACCTACTCCACTTGGGAAGGAGACATCTCAGATCATATTTCGCGCGGAGAAAAGTTGATGGATGACGGAGGCATGTCTGGATAACTCAGGGTTTTTGAGATGTTCCCTGGGTGAGTATTCACGGATGAGGGTTGACTTGGGGTGAAGAAAAAGCCACCATAACTTCGCAGAGGTACTTGCAAATGAAATCTGAGGCATGAGTGCTTTTCCTTTACGTTGAATCATCTATTCTATACTTTTCTCCGATATTGTGTCATAGCTAGATAGCTGCATACGCAATTAAAATCTGATGCAAAAAAAAAAACCCCCCCAACAGGGCAAATGAAAGCCAGGATCTCATCATCCTGCGCTTAAAGATTATATTATACATGATTACCGATCACCCTTCAACTCTCATGTTTTCAGATTTTATTGAATGAAGAATAGATTAAACAAACAATATGGAAGGGGGAACTTAGTTGAATCACATGATTGCCTTTCTGTCAGACTTGTTGTGCTTTTCGAAAGAAATTTGTGACACGCACCCAGCTATTAAATGCGTGAACTCCCTCCGCGGAATCGAGAGCCCAAGGTATGCTGGGACTAGGATTTTGTACTCTGTGGAGCTGTGCCTGGTATTGCCCGAGGTAGCAATAGAAAAAATGGTTGGAGGACTTTTCTTCTCCGCATAAGCAAGTTAGAATGGCGTTTTCGTGCTGAAACCGTCGGTGGTAGTCTACGAAATCGCCATGTCCAGACCGTGCAGCTAATAGATATCCTAGTGTGCGTCGCCCTAGGCAGGCGAGCTCGGCAGTAATCTTAGTATTAGGACCAATTCCTAATTCTTTCTATCTAGATGGAGAATTTTCTGCCCAATAAAGTGCAACAGAAGCCTCGTATTGGGCATTGACTTCCCTTCTTGCCCTCGCAATAGAGAATACCGAGTATAGAGGCTAATGTAAGTTGACATAAGAACAAGACTGATATACTTTAGGGCATCACCTGATCTGGACACAGAGGGCGCTAGTACATCAGGTAGTATTTACAGACTGAGCTAACCGGCAGCCGGACGTAAAATAAAGATGATCATGAGCCAGCTGGCGCTTGGCCCTATAATATAGTTTGTTTATTCATTTAGGTCCTTGGTCTAACCCGTTATTTCCGAAGAGTCAAGGACTTTGGTACTCCAAGTGGGAGTCGAACCCTATAATGTAGTGTTGTGCGCCGTCACGACTTTAAGTAATAAAAACCATTATTATTTCGTGCATAATATCGCTCAATATATCATGAAAAACATCGAGCCTAGCGTTGGCATTTGTCTGTAACAATAAGACAATGAAAACGAAACAGCTTAGCAACGGGTGGGACGAAATGATTATTAGGATTTCCTTCACAAATTGAAGCCGCCATTTCGATGTGGAGTGGAAGTAAAACTTGAAAGAGACCACAGCACTCATGCCTAATTATTTACCAAATTCAATATTGTGCACGCTACTCCCTAAAATATAAAGATAGTGAGAAACTAGCGTACCTCCCTTTTCCGCTAATATTGGAAAGTCAGTAGGCTATAATCTGCTTGTCACCCTGATACATACTGATGCTTGCCTAATTCTTTTCAACGTAAAATCATCTCGACATATTCATCCGACGCCAAAACCCTAGTGAGAGACAAATGAAATCGATCGGTCGATCAAGTTAAGAGACGCTACAGCCATTACTTGCTTGCTCAAAGGCACGAGAGAAAAATTCCTGCATTGCAACGTAGTGAAATAGAATTCCGATCAATACAGCACAGTGCCAGAGGTTGTGGCTTCCCCCAACATAGTCAAAGGCGCCTGGGTACCATTTCTCAGGAATCTGGCTAGCATATACAAATGCTCCAACTGTATATACCAAAAGACTCTTGGTAATGGGAGCGTAGAATTCCCAAGCCCAGACGCTTCCACGAGTGAGTAGCAATTGACAAGCTGGTGCAAGACCAGTTGCACCTAGGCTCATATAAAATGCCACTCTAGCCCACGCTAACTCTGCCCGATTGAATGTCGGATGCCAGGGTAGAATGACACCACCAATTCCAAGGAGGGCAGTTAAAGACAAGTAGATCCATTGACTTACAGGCTCACAGTAAAAAGCCGTATACTCAGTGGTCATGATCGAGGCGGCAATAAGTAAAGAGATACCTGTGTAATCAACACATGCGAATCGCTCCATTAGATTTTGATCAGCCACGCTATTCATAGTATGCCATAATGTACTACAAACTAGACACTTGCAGGCGGCGAAAAAGAAAGCTGCAGCGATAAAGATGTCGGTTTTAGTGCTCATCGAGAAGTTGGCACTAGTAGGGTAGTAGTAGAGTGCAATCGAGAGGACGATCAATAATCCAATAGCGTGAGACCAAATATTAACACTTTCGTTAGATATGTCAAACATTGAGCGTAGACACTCCAACTTTGATTCAGTGAATCGATAGCCTTTGGTGATATGCGGATTCACTCGCCATGGTACTGGTAAATCTTCATAGCGAATGAGGCCGTGCTCTTTCGCTCGTATGATAGCTGCTTGGACATGAATTTCAACAGACTCGGCAGCTTTCTTAGCCCGTTCTATACCTTCGTCTACAACTCTCCGACCACCATCCATCAAAGTTCCTGCAGCGCTAGCAAAGCCTTGCTCTTTCATTTTGTGGGCTGTTTTTTCAAAATCAGATAAAATCACTTCCAGGAACCCAATGCCGTCATGAACTCTATCATGAAGGGTCTCCTTGACGGCTAGTGTATTTTGATATCTTGATTCTATTGTTTCCACAATTATTTTCGCTCTCTTTCGTCCGGCACAAATTACTTCTCCAGAAACATGGGAGCAACGGGCCCGGACGGCCTGTAATGTGGCATATGCTCTTGATATACCAGAATCTAGGTTGAGATTCCCATAAGATTCTAGATAATCTAGCCGGCGACCGAGCTCTAACAAAAAATGATCGACCTGTAGTAAAGATCGATCCGTTAACAAGATAAACGTTGGATTCATAGACCGGAAAGATGGGGTACCTTGAGAGAGAGGCCTTCATCCTCATCTATTATCTGATCGGTCGGTTTAGGATGTGATGACGAGGGTCTTCGTCTTAGTCTTAGGTTTGGTGAGTCGTAGTTCGAGCTATTTCCACCAACAGATTTATCTTCCGCAAAAGTTTCCAGAGTCATGGATCGTGTGGAGCATACCATGTCGGCTGAATATAGTGGCGCTTGTAGCCGATAGGAAATTGATACGGAAGGTTTATGTGAGTCTTTTTTAATAGGCACCGACTGGTCAAATTGCGCATGAAAAGGGGTTGTGACAAAGAAATGGTGAATGACTAGTTCCTTGATAGTACCAAGGTATCAGTAGGTAATTAAGGAAGAGTGATGTGTAATGTTAACGTAGTTTTTGAAGAAGTAACAACGTAGGGCGTCAAGATGTGAGTCAGTTCAAATCACGCGCCGGGACGAGGGATGGTGATAATGGGAAAGGTAGAATAGTGGGAGTATATCCTTATTGCAAGTTTCCACTTTTTGTCCGAGCAGCTTGGAAAAGGGGGGACCGAGGACAACGAAATTTTATTGAGTGGACAACTTAGTCGGCACAAGTGTTGTCGGAGTGTATGTACAGTGTTTCCAAAGTTAACTTTGGTTTTGTAGTGGTTGAAGATTATTAACATTGCTTGAGCGCGTGTGCGAGATTTTGTTATTGTCTGATTAGTGAGCCTTGCTTGGTTTGTGATCGACGCTCACTTGTGCACGGAGAGAATGTATGGAATTTCGTAACTTGGTTTCCTGGGATTATTGTACTCTGTTCCAGCCCCCCCGGTGGGGACGATAACCTGGAGTTGATTCTTGTTGTGATAGTGGGTGCCTTGAGCATGCATGACCATCATCGTCATCATACATAAGGCCAGTTGAGGGACGCTCAGGTCGCTAGGGCTAGGAACATGAATATATCCGGGCTTTTTTTACTTGATCAAACCCCTCGCTAGACTGTGCCTAGCCTTGATCTATGGCTTTGCACCGGCCATGACTTTGTAAATGGCAACAACTTTGCGCCATCCATTCTGTGGTTGGATCATCATTACCTTAACATATCTTCTAAGAGTTGATTCTGTACCCTAATCCACCCAACGACTACTCTAAACATCCGGGACTGATGTTCTTATTTTATTATTGGACTTCACGTACAACGAAGCGATTACGTACACATAACCTAGAAGCGTGAAGAGGCCCCTGGTCGTTTGCACTGATCATCTCACTACAGCATACATGCACGTGCAGAGCAGTATCCTGGAAAAAGTCCGGCTTGTATCCCTACAGCCGCTCATCTAAGCATTTTGGTTATCAGGGTCATATGGCCTATTATTCTTGAGTGAATTTAATGGCTTTATCTGTCGAGATCCATATGCTCTCTTGTTTGATAGCCCCGGTCCAGTCAGTTGATAATCGTGGTTGACATCAATTGGAACGTAGTGAAAGAATATACATTATAGCTTGTAATCTAATCATCTCCAAACTACAGTGCTGATTCTAAAGAAAAAAAGTAAACTTAACAATCCGTTTTATCCTTTTTGTCCCTCTTCTCCCATGCAATTATGGCAGGTGCCATTGGCCGAGAAAACATACTTGAGTAATCAGTTTCGGCAACGCCCTCCCTTCCGTCAAGGTTGTGAAACTTGAAACTGCGAACCATGGTGGCCATGATTGTAACTAATTGCACCGTTGCAAACTGCTCGCCTATGCAGCGATGCCGTCCGGCCCCAAACGGTAAGTAAGGGCTTGCTGCCCCTGTGCTAATTAATCCATACCCATAGTCGAATTTTTCATCCTCCATATCCGTGCCTATCACCCCACTAGATCCAGTGTCCCAACGATGTGGGTCCCACGTAAGCGGATTAGGGAAGTATGAGGCGTCTCGACTTGTCCACCCAGGGGCCGCCAAGAGAGAATTGGTCTTAGGTATTACATAACTAGTTCCTGGAACGGGCATTGGATTCTTTACTTTTCGTAAGATCGAATGTATGGGAGCATGCAGACGGAGGACCTCTTTCACTACATTTTGATGCAGAGTAAGTTTCGAGAGATCTTCATATTTAACAGGAGGTAATTCTGATCCCAATATTTCTAGCTGTTCTTGGTAGAGTTCTTCAGTGATATCTGGTCGAGCAGCAAGCCACAGCATGATCCATGTGCTGGACGAGGACGAAGAATGTTGCCCAGCCATCAGGAGCGCGATCATCATATGTGCAATTTCTTTATCCGGTACGGGAGTGCCATCTTTGTAGGAAGAGCGCATTAATTGCCACATGATATCTAAATTGGAATTATCAGTTTCTTTCTGCGTCCGACGGCTGTTGATAATCTCCATGTATATTTTTGCGACTGTCCGTTGGGCATGATCACGAGCTCGATTGTGCGGAAGTGGTGCCCAGTGAAGCATGAAATTGATTGGGGTAAAGCCCATATCTAGGTCATGATACAAAACTGCCAAAGAAGAATCAAATCTATCGCGAACCTCTTTTCCTTGTAGGGTGTGTGAAGCGGTATATATCGTAATTTCAGCCATTACGGCAGCGATATTGATGATACCTTCTGATTTTCGAAAATCGTCGCATTTTTTTATAAAGCTCTCCACTTCATTTTGGATGATAGGTACATAAGAGCGGAAGGCCTCAGTTGTAAGGGCTGCTTTCATGAACTGTGCAAATATCAGAATCTGATACTGAAAGTTATCCATATGATTTTATAACCTTCTTTTGTTCCATTAATTTTGAATTAGGACAGTCAAACACTACATCAGTCCCGAAGACAGGAGTCGTTAAGACTGAATAAACTTCTTCAGCATTAACATCCCTCAGTTTTCCATTAAGAATAAAATTGTTTCCCTGTCGACCTAGATATACTGTCGTCTTTTTACCCAGTAATATGAAAGTGAAAATATTTCCGTACTTTACTTCAATTAATTTCGTGTTCCCCAGAATATATCAATGGCAACTGACCTTGGCTTGGGATTCATGAAAGAATTTATAGGGATTCATTCCATATGAAATTGTACTACCAATGATAGGAATCCAATGAAACACGATCGGTGGCTCATTTGGATTTTTGAATAGTAGCTGCTTCAATACATTCAAGAAGGTTAATAGTAATAATAAACTTATAATTCCACTAGCCAACGCAATGCTAAAGCCGAATTGGAGCAACGGCTGCAAGTATGGAGACATAAAGCTTTCTGGTATTCCCATTCTACTGAAATAAATCTTGCGATAAGGACGGAAAATGGAAGTCTATAGTTGGTGATCACAGTCTCGGAAATGGAAACTACATAGGTGCCCTCGCTAAGCAATAAAGACTAGTGGGATTAAATAAGGGACCCATAAATCCTGCCTAAGGCATTTCTCAAGAATCCTTACAAATTGCTTCATACCAAAACTCGAGAAGAAGATATTGACTATTCAAGATTACCCTCATGGCATTCTCAGCTGTCTGGATACTTCTCTCACCAACACTATTTTGATGTGAAGATGCGATGGTGGTGAATTGCGCAGCAATCTCTTCTTCTCTTTCCCATTGTGACAAGACGAATTTCAGTTCTGAGGCATTATCTGACCTGACAGCTTTAAGTTCTTTTTTAGTTTCAAGTTCTACTTGAGCTTTCCACATTTTTAGGGCAGATATTGCTGAGCTCTTAGATGGGAGTGGTAACGACCAGTTCTTTCGGGCAAAATTGTCAATAATTTACAAGAAAACCCGATTTCCTCATAGTGATCTAAGAAATGGCCCAGCTATGTTAAGTGAGACTAAATCTAGTACATTTTTCTTATGCTTTGCAAGAGTTTTATTGATAGTATTTCTCATTTTCGCTACTTTGCAAGATTTACAGACTCGAAGACTTGGTGGTGGGATTGGAACTTTTTCCTTCAGAGTGGAAACTTTGTGGAGCTTCCTAATCATATATGGCCCATAGTGACCAAACCTGCGGTGCATTAATCTATAGAAATGTCTTTCAGACTTATTCTTGGCTTCCTCAGGTTCAGAATCATCAGAATCAACTTCTGATGGCGCCTCTTCTATTTCACTGTCATGGTAACTATGGATACCTTCTATGTTCAAGTTATTCTGCCCTGTCGCAACCAGCGCCTTACCATGATATTTTCTTGAGACATAAGATACAATATACAACCCTTTTTCTTGTCTAGCAGTGATCACTTTTTTGTCTTTGTGAATGACATGTTTGAATGGAAGTTGTATAGAGAAGCGCAAGCTGTTAGGCTTGTATTTAATATCACCTAGTGAAGCGAGTTGGGAGATTGAAGAGTCTGAAAACTATAGTGGAGAGTTGTTGATGAAACCCACTTAGTATCAGAGCGCTATTTAAACTAATTACTACATCTAAGTGAAGGACACGATTCACTTGTTTATGCTAAATAATTGGGAGGCTGGTCAATGTATGAGTTGTCATAAATGTGGCTAGTAATAATAGAACCTTATTACGTTCCGTATTAATGCGCCTCGTCATTGCCAAGTAGCGCCAATTTCAACATGACATACATTTGATGTTCATCAAAAAAACCTTGCATTCCATTTCTACATAATTGCTTTGCAGAAACCAAGTTGACACCAATTTTTGGAACATACAATGTATTGCTAAGGAAAACAGATGATCCATCCTGTTGGAATTTGCCACATTTCTTACGATAACTGGCATTCCTTGCAAATATGAACAACTTTCCTGCATGCTGCACAATACATCCTGTATTCTACATTTTAGTTTCTTTTTGCTGTTGAGATATTCTCTCATAAATTTGCATGTGCGGGGTAATATGATACTATATGCAAATGCAGTGAGAGATATGGTCACGTTTACTTTGCGACAAATAGGATGTCGTTAATGGTGCGGGGTAAGTACTGTTTTATTCCCCGCACAATGGTTTCGTGGTCAGCTGTGCTGAAGACTTTTCACTGTAGTAATTGTTGTTTGCATACCCACTTTAACTCTAGGATATGCGCACATAAATTCGCGTTTTACATGTAACTTAGAACTTTAATGGAAACAATATTCTTTGAGCTATACTTTCTGCACCTCTTACTATGAAATCGCAACACATCCTTGCACAATAATAGCGCTGTTCCTCGTTGATCTGAGTGAAGCTCTCCTCCACCAACTTGAATAGTGTCTCTTCTCGTTTTATGCAGTGGTCCTCTAAATAAGTGAAGTTGGTCAGTCATTGGTGATATAGCGCCAGTATCAAAAACCCATTCGGCAGAGATGCTCTTACAGATTAGCTCCTTCGATAAATGAACTCTCTCCTTTGTCACAGATGGACTGTCATGGCGTGACATTCTGGAACCAGAGTCTAAGCAGAATGCCTGAGGACAAAATTCACGGAACAGGTTTTTCGGCTCACCCTCAACACTTGCACTTACATGGTGAGACTAAAAAATGCGCCAACTGGAATTGATATGGTTGAGGTCACAGTTTGAGTCATGATGGAAAATTACAACAGTCTTAGTTGAATTACGTTAGATAGTTATTTGTACTTAAGGAAGCTGATGCTACAACAAAGTAGTTCTCCAGCTTCACAATCTTATAATATTATTACAGTATTCCTCTCGCAAACCCGCTTCCTTCTAGCCATAGTACTTCGTCGACTTTCCACCTTTATAGTATTCACCACTTGACCTTTTCATACCCTCGGCAAATGGAGATCTCGATCTACCCTATAGCACGCTGTAACATGGACCCTCGTTGTCAAATATCTCATCCTGGCTACCAACCGGGTTGTCTGGGTCAGAATCCTCAAAACTGCTTCCAGAATCATCATTTTGAGCTGAATAGCCATAACTTTTCTTTTCACGAGGTTTCTTAGAAGTACTACCCTTTCCCTTGCAAGATGATGAACTTCTGTTAGGTCTTGTGACTTTTTTCTCACGTTTTAGCCGTAGTCTTTCTGCAAAGTTCTGGATATCAACCACATAGGAGTAGTGTCTCTGAAAATTCTCACCTTTGCAAAGGTAACACATTTTGGAGGGTGAAACTGGTGTGTCGGAGGCATCTTTCATTGAGACATCAGAGTGCCGACGGTGTGGTGTCTTGTGGGGTGTACGACGCCAAGATGCAAGATTCGCACTCTCCTTGATTCTTTCTTCCTTCTCCATGAGCCGCTGTATTTTATCTTCAGGCATAAGGGTTTCTTGAAGGTGTAAGCCATCAATTGTGGATTGGTAGGACTCAGGTAGTTTGCTCATGAGTACCAGTAGTAAAGCGTCATCAGGATATGTATGCTTCATTACTGAGTTTGCCGTACTCAGTTTCCGCCGATAATCTTTCAACTTGGCCCATGCTGACTCTTTTCCATCAACTTCATCAAACTGAAAGTTTTGGATTTTGCTGAGGTGGGAGTTGTTGGAAATATCGTGCAATGAAATGGACGCAATATTCATGGAACGAAAGTAGAAGTTGACTAAAAGAGTGTCATGTTCGGATTAAAACTAAGAGTGTGGGAGGTGTGCGCTACAATCACAAGTGTAAGCGACACGTAGCCTAAGCCACAGCATAAACGAGTGTGGCGCCATCTAGGCATAGAAAACCCCCAATAACCTTCTTGCGCTCACGCCATACAGCCGCTCATATGTCCAATAGGTAGCCTGAAGCGCTACCATATTAACTACTCCAACCTCTTAAATACACACGAGATCGTGTCGGGAACCTAGACGAAATGGAGGGCCCATACGTCCACAACACTCCGTGTCTCCATTTCCAACAGGAGTTTACTGCAGTAGTACTTGTCTTTCGATATTTAGTCCTCAGGCGTGCCCAAACTTCGACTGCAGTGCCAAATTCGTCGATTAGTCTTTGGTCCTCCTCAGAGAGATGGTCAGCAAGTACTGAGAGTAGTTTAGCCTGGTCTTTCTTGAACTGAGCTTTTTTCTCATTATTCCAGCATCCTTCTACTAGCTTTCCCTCGACAGCAAACGTGTTCAGTAACATTTCTGTTGTGTAGAAAATGTCGTCGCCTTCCAACCGTAACTTTATCCTTCGAAACCATTGCTCATGGTTATCTCTATTTAGTTCCGAAAGATTTGTGCTTTGTACATAGCCACGCTCCATTGCGTGTATTCCTCCTTTCAACAGTACCGATCCTTAATCTTCGTTTCGGTGGACTCTGGCATGTACACGCTCTTCATTTCAGCACTGAAAAAATAAAACAATCTCAATCAAAACGCAATCCGGAGGTCATAACCTATTAAAATTATGCGCAGTGGATCAATTGATATCTCATAAGCTATGTAACATTAAAAAATTCAATTACAATTACATAACTTGATAGTGCAATCCTCGCTTAGAGGATCGACCCTGACTTCATGTGACAACGTAGACTTGGCCTGAACTTGTTTATTTCAAAATAATAAGAGAATCGCCCTGCAAACCTAGTTAGGAAGTGTTATGATAACGAGGTCATGAGGGGACAGAGGAATACCTGAGATGGATGCAAATGATTATGGATGCGCGGATATAATTGATATGGCTGTAGTGAGAAGAAGCGTTGGAATGGACAGTAGTGAGATGGTTGTTTTACAATCTATCTGCGGAAGTATTGCTTCCTTATATATACATTCAGTACCCCAGTCCTGATCACGCACTCACCACAGGTGCTTCCTACTTCTGTCACAGTAACCGCTTCCATAGCCCCTACCAATATCTCCTGTCACAACATATTATTGACACTGGTTGCTAGTGTGGAACTCCCGGGATTGCAGAGCTATACACCGTCGTCACATTATATGCTGTTGCCCCTCGGTAGCCATCAGAGTGATGTGCACCTCAGTCTAAACGCATTGGTCCACCAGGCAGCGCTCGGATGTAGGGATTTTGCCAGAGTGATTAGGTACTTAGCTGTGCTGCCAGTGCCCTAATCTCATCTAGCTTACTGCGGCCGAGTGTCCGAGTGCCGCGATGGTGGGAGCCCGATGAGGCTCGATCGGAGCTGACCCGAGGTATTCACAACAGGAAGTAGCGAGGGCGAAGCCACCAGGGCAGTGTGACGGAAACCGAGTTGGTAATGAATAAATTGATTGATTAAACTATATGAAGAGAAAAGAAATCTCTAGCGACTACTAACAGGTACTTATAACGTTTGGTCCGCTTCGTGAACCTGCTGACTGATAACTTCTCCCTAGGCCTAATACTTGCTACCGAGCCAAGTATTATCAGGAGCCATTACGCTATGATGTTGCTTCGACC